GTGGCACACCGGGACCATACTATTCAGCATTGTTACGCTGAATCGCTCAACCGTTGTGTAGATTTTGAATGCTGCACATTTATAATAAATAGCATTGTAACCTTAAAGCATCTTATAGTATTTCGTACTTAAAAAATATTAATATTTGAACTCAAAGCTGCTATTATCGTAAGCTATTATTATACATTTTGTATCTAAGTTTAAGATTTTTTATTATAGTATATCTATATTAACCTACATGCAAAAGTTAAATTAAAAAAATTTTTTGTAATTTTTGAGTGAATTAATTTTAATTTAGCACAGCTAAATCTTATTTACTCTGCATGTTTGTTAGATAAATAGTTTTAAAAGTTTAATGGAAAAGTATTTAAATTTAAATATATTTTATTAAAACTTTATAAACTTAATCAAGAAAGCTAAATAAATAATTCAAATGCATTTATGTTATATATTTTGAAGGAAAATATGAGATTTTAAATACTGTTTTACACACAAGTTTACATTTTTGGAAAGTATCTATATTTTGTAAATATTATAAAATAGTTTGAAGATGAAAACATCTTTTTTGGTAAGCTGTCAATCTACTTTTGTCACATATAAATCGGTGAATATAAAACGTGTATGTGTTTATATTAAAATTTTCCCATTGGCACAGATTTGTAGAAGTGACAAGACACTATTTATTTGATGAAGTGACAAATCTACCAAAGCGAATCGTCCAACTGAGAAACTCCAATTAATTTAATGGCCCTTCCGAACACTATATCAGATATCTTCTAAATACAGAATTATCTAATCGAACCTAAACGTAATAAATCTATTTAATGCAAATAAATAGATACTTTTCTAATTGATAGATACTTTGTAGCAAGAAAGTTTCACCAATATTCATTAAACAAAGATTAGGAGTTGCAACTTTCAAATTTTCTTAAAACTAATTTTTACATTAATACGCGGCCCATTAAATTTGTGTTATTAATAATTATTTAAACATATTATTTAATGAATGTACAGTTTAAAAGTTAATTACGAATATTTACTGTTACTTTAATCACTTTAATGTTAATAAATTTAATAAATTTCTTTAGTTTCTGATATAAAAATATACTTATCTGTATGAATTTCACATTAAAAGCTATTAATAATCTGGTTTATAATAGGATAAAGAGTTAAATTTTCCTAATTACATACCTGTATAAAACCTCTGATAAAGAGCCACTGAAGGGAAAATACAAAATGTCTGTTGTACGGAGGTGAATGTTTTGAAGGGTATTTTGTATGCATTTCGGAAAGAAACGTTCCTGAAAGTGGCCACCATTTAGAGGTGCACTTTATAGGAGATTCGATAGAATTTATATGCTTTAGGACTAACAAATATATTAGTTGATATTTTAACATATATATATATATTTTATTAAAACAATCGTCTAAAATAAATAGTAAAAATGAATAGCGCCATCTGTTAATTCCTCTATTAACTAAAAAAAAACATAGTGATTTGAAAATTATAAATTATTTAAAACATTTTCATCAAATTTTTATCATTTAACCATTAGTTTATCCTCTCAATTTTTAATTTATGTTGTGTTTTAGACTAAAGACGTACAATATTTAGATATATTTAATTAAATTCTATCAAATTTAAGCTGCTTACTTTTAAATGATATTAAAACAACAGTATTAGTAATTAATTTATTATAAATAGCAGTAATGAATGAATGTGTTAAATCTGGCTGGATGGCTGGGACGGTAAAGCATTAATCTATTGCTTTCGGGTAGTCAGGATCAAATCCGAACAGGTTAGGAGTTTTTTTGGGAGGTGGTCTGTCCCGGATATATCGAGTCTCATCCGTCTCCCCCCCCCCATTGTGGGCCTGGCTGAACTCAAGATATCCTGAAAAAAGCCTTTTTTAGTGTCCACAGTGTGAAAATAATAATAATAAGACACATATATATGTATACATATATTTTTTAAAATCGATTTTCTTTGAATAAAATTTGATATTTACGATATTTTTTATGTTAGTAATAATAAAATATTTATTTTTGAACTTATTCTTTTATAAATAATTATATTATAATCACTTTTTTAAATAGATATTTATACTAATCATCAGTTATAAAATTACAGAATAAAATAACCGCGTAAAAAAACTATACAAATAATTTTATACGATTAAGTAAATATATATTATTATGTGTAAATTCAATTTATAATTAATATTTAGTTGAATCAATTTTATATTAATTTGATTAGTTGTGCGGTTTAAATTTTTGTAATTAAGGCTAGAAATATGAGAAATAAATGTTTTCTTTATTTATAAGACTTCATACGTTTCGTCATTTATTTGATTTCTATTCTGCGGTAGAAAAACATTGCAGTAAAGAAAACAAAATTGTTTCAGTTAATAACTAGCTTGAATGGCAATTCAAATATGTTTAGCAAAAAAATTATTCTTGCGAACGTTTCATATAAGAGCTAGCACGCCTCTTGTTCATAATTACATTAGTTTTTTACTTTCCTAATTCTTGGAATGTTTTAAGATTGATCGATTGCTTCCTATCTTCAGACAACAAATATCACTTTCTAAATATCTTACATTCATTTTTTCAATCTATTAAAAAGTTAATTTAAAATTTTAAATGGTTTTTATTTAAAAATGAATTCTATACTACCCATTTTCTCCTTAAAAAATAAAGTATCATTAAACAGGTAAAATAATAAAATAATACTTACGTGTATATGTTATATTGTATATCATTATGTACTGTATATATAATAAAATGTCTCTAGAGATAAAAGAATATTTTCCTAAAGTTTTTATCTTCAGATGATTTATGTAGAAAATGAGACCATCGTTTAAGAGCTCTTGCGTATTTATGTTTATGTAATCTTTTCTTGTAATCATTTATAACTTTCTGCGATATAAAAACTACAAAGTTATTTATAAAAATTCTTATAAATATGCGATTATTCATTAAAATCTTTTATTTATAAATAAAAAAAATTTTAATGAATATTACATAAAAAATGAATCTTAAGATAATTGAATAGAAACAATTATCATATATTTATTTTAATTTTTCAATCGATCTTCAAAACAATCGCAGTTCTAATTAATTTTCAGTAAATTTTTTATGTGTATTTTAATCGCTTGCAATGAGCAGTAACAACTAGATATTCGAAATCAGTTTTAACAGTTCTTAAAATAATCTTAGAAAAATAATAATAGACTAAATCTCGGTTAATTGACTTTTCGGCCACTTTACATAAATCGTAAAAGGCCATCTAAATTCATAACGTATACTTTTAACTATTAATAAAAAACACAGAGAATTCAAAAATAAAAATCAGAATAAAAACTTAAATAATTTGGGTGGTTTGCAATAAATGATAAAATGCAAACTAATTAATATTACCACTTATCAGCGACCCATTTTAAGTTTTATATTGCATTTATTGCCACAAATTGATGCACATTGCTAGAAAATATGCTATTTTATGATTATATTTATTAAGAGTTTTTTTAAAAAATAAATTGCATTGTTCTAAACTTTGTGAAAAGTAATTTGGAACTACTCAAAATCCATGCATATAGAAATATGTAAAGAAGGTATGATCCAAGTGAAGTTACGCATAAATTTATGTTGAATGCGTACAATTTTTATGCTTCTTTCTCTATTACGATAAATAAATCTCAAGATATTCATGAAAATGTTATCAAATATTTCCAATGCATTATAAATGTAGGAATTTCAGCCATTACAAAATAATTATTTTTAATCTACATAACAATAAAATAAATCTTGAAGCTTTGTAATGAAGAATTATTTTAAGTTCAACAAATTGAAAGTAATTTTCAAAATTAGCATGTTAAACCCTAAGCTAATGTTATAACCATTTATAGTCCTAATGATACGAGACGACCAAATTGCGATTCTAGCAATTTGCTGTATATATATCTTAATGAGAGTGAGACTAAGCACAATTTAAAGAATATTAACATAAATCTATCGAAGTAGTTAAATCATTTAAATTTGATTTGAATTATTCTTCGGCACATATAAGTTCTTATCGAGGATTTTAATTGCCTAGACTGAATAATTCGATAAACGATTAAAACATCTAAACCAATTTTGTAATATATATTTTTAGACTAGATAATTGTAAATAATATATTTTTCTTGTCATTTCGGATTTCGCAAACGTGCGGAAGTATTAGAGGGTTATGTATATAACGAAATTGAATTAAACTGAAGAGAAACTATTAAATTTTCAATAGATATTTTATTCTGAAAACTTTTAAAGTTGGAAGAAATTGACAATAAGTTATATTTGTGGCTTGTATAATAAAAAGTTTAGTTGCAGTCCAATATTTGAAACAGAAACAATAAATATAGATGTTTGGGTAATACCAGATTATAGAAGTTATCTGAATTAATCTCAAAAGAGCAATTGCAATGGAACAGGAAAGATATAAAGGATACCTTATCAGATTTAGAGAGGAAACAATGCCATTACGAGACCAATATGTTATGATGAAACATAAATACATTTTATTAAATTATTTCTATCACTTTTCCTTTTTCTGTGTAAAAAATAATAAATTTAAATTATGAATAGAATGTTCATAAATAAAGAAAATATTCTAAATATATATTATGTTGTTTTTTAATATTTGTTTTCGTGAAATATAAAATTAGAATATTAAAAATATATAATTAATATCTATAATTCATGCTTTTTATATAAAATACTGTATATGATTTCAATTACAAAAATAATAAAATGTATATTTTTAATTGCATGATTATATCTTGTAAATTTACAGTTTGGACTCTATTTTAATTAAAACAATAATGATGTTTTAGCAGTGGTGTAGCGCACTTTACTAAATAATTTTTAAGATTACAGCACTGTATTTTTTTTTATCAGAAGAAAACAAAAATAGCTGTAATGAAAGTTTAAAGAAAATGAAATATGAATTCTTTACTGTAACATGCAGAATACCAATCAGGAAAATTCAACTCATACAAAAACATTGATGAAGAAAACTGCTGATAAAGGTATTAAAAGAAAAAAAAAGACCTTATTTAAGACCTTAAAAAGATAAAATTATCCGAGACAACTAAAGGAACAGAAAAAATTTGATGTAGAATAAAGAATTTAAAATTTTTATATTGTATTTTTGTCAATTAACTGAAAGTGTTTATAACATTATTAAATATTTAAAATTTAATACTTATTTTTACATTATTTAGTATTTCATTATTTTAGTAGTTTAATGATTAATATAATTATTAAATAGTTAAAGAAGCATATTTGGAAAACAGTTATTATGTTAAATACATATTTTACATAAAATGTTCATTTTGCTTTATGATTGCATTTCGTTCATCTTAAAATTTGAATTGCAACTAACAGGAATTTCTGTTTCCAAGAAAGTACAAAATCATATTACGAAATATGATAGAAAATTTATTCAATTCGAAAGATGATATTACATAAATATTGTTAAAAGTTTTTTTTTGTCCTAAATACATATAAAAATATTTGAACAAGTACGTTAAAAATATAACAAAGTTTTATTAATAGATACTTAAACTTGGAAATGTTTAATATTATTGATAAGAGAAATTTAAGTTATTTTAAAAATATTTTTGATGTACAATATTCGTTATAAGTTAATGTCTTTACATAAATAAAATTGATAAATTTATTGAAGAAGCTAAAACTTTACAAATTTCTTTGCAGAATATTTCTTACCGATTCCACGTATTATTATTTCTTTAATGAAGATGAAATTTTATTTCCCATTATTAAAATTATAATGAGCAACGTTAAAATTTTCTTCTTACTTCAAACACTTATTTTAAAAACACTTTTTTTTTGGTCATTATAAATTGCTTGTTCTTATAGAATTCTTATTTTCACCCAAAAAAATTAATTAAAGTAAATTCATTTAGAGTTAATTACATTAAAATATTACTTGAATGAAGCAAAGTTAATTTTGTTAAGAGTTTTCTTTCCTTAAATTAAATAACAGATTCTGTTATATTTAAAATGCAAATAAAATTCTAAAAATGATTAATTTTTATTGAATATAATTTATAATCGTATGAGAATCCTTTATTAAATATATTTTATATATACTTTTATTTAATTTGATATTAAATATTTCGAAAATGTGTAAAAAGATTTTGAAAGTTTTTCTTAAGTTAATTAAAAGTTAAGACCTGAAAATTCGTGAAAATAATTAAAATTGAACCATAAAAGTAATGAAAAATAGTTTCCTTCAAAAATTTAATCTTTATTTCTAAACTTCAAGAAGAAAAATAAGAAATTCGACTTTTATTCTTTGAAGAGACAAACCTGTTAATTCAAAATCTAACAGACAACCTTAATTACATGCCATTGCATGTACTTTACATGTACGTAATTGTTGTTCTATGGAACGTGATTGGTATTCAGAAAGACGTATGACAAGAATTGAAAGAAGGATTATTACAATATAATTTTGTTAGTGAACATTCAAGTCTTGTACCACATGCAAATTAAATCGAACGCTTTATTATTTACTTATTTAATTTAATAGTATAATACAATTAAAAATGATAATATTCTAATTAAGAATAGATTCTTTGAAGAAGCTAGTCAATTAAATTTATAACAATAAGTTCTTAAATATTTATATTATTTAATATTTTCTTTTTTAAATTAAAAAATACATTTATTTAATATGTTATAGTTTGTTCGTTTTTGGAAGAAGGCATATCTGCAACTCTCGGCCCAAGTTCTCCGTCCAAATATTCCATCGCTAAATCTACGTCCAATGCCCTTCATATTCCTCACCTTCAGACATCTTTTGACTATAGGCCTAGAGTAAGCAATTATTCCGTCAACCTGTATCCCCATATCTCTCTTTTAAGTAGAGCATTCAGTGATCTCATTGCTGCAAAACAATGGAAATCATTTACAGTTATTTACGAGGAGAACGAAGGTAAGCACTTTATTCTATACGATATTTTAGAAGTTTTCTAATCAGAAATACTACGTAACTTTAGTTAAATTTAATTAAAGGCAATAAATTAAAAATTATCAAATAGCTAATCTTCTAAACTAATCAACTAGATAGTTGTTTGTTTCTCTTATCATGTCAATGAACGGGAATATTGATAGAATACTGTACAGTTTTCAATGAATATTCATATAAAATTCAACAAAATTCCGATAATTTATATGCTTTTATATATTATAAATTTTTTCTTACAAGTTTAAATGAATAAATTTAAAAAATTCTTCTCTAAAATCAAAGTTAATTTCTTGTTTGTTTGTTTTTTAAATTTAATCTTACGTGGAATTTAATTTAAATCAGCTATTAATTCTCAGTTAAAATTAATTTATTGAACTACTTATATTAATTAATTTGTTATGCATAATATATACGTATGGTGAGATTTGATGATTAACATATGGTTTAAATAACCAACATCTGTATTATATAATGGTATATCAAATGGCTAAACTCAATGAAGTGATATAACCATTGGATGCATGACATCACTCAGGAAACTATAGAGTAAAGGGAATAGATAATGGAACAGGTTTCATACTTGTCTTCATTGGTACTTCAAATATTTGCGTGTACATATATTAAATTACTCGGTAGGGTAGTATTGTATGCAGTGGTTTCATTAACAATTTGATTTAAAATTATACAAACTGAGCTTAGAATTACTATAAATATTTATTTACGATTTGATATATAATATCAATTTCACATTCATTTTAAATATAACTATGTATTTATTTATAATGTTTAAAAATAATGAATATAATTTGAATAATTTTAAAACTTCATAGCCTTGTTGATATTACAAGATGTGGTTACAATGTCAAAGACAGGTGACATCAAAGTTTTTCTAAGGCCTTTCCGAACAGGTTACACTTACAGAAAATTGTTAAAGGATATTAGTAGAAGAGGAGAAACTAATTTAGTACTTAATTTGCCACCAGAGAAAATACCTTATGTTCTCCGTGAGGTAAGATAATACCTGATTAATAAGTAAGAAAATTGCACACCTACTGTTAATGTTATAGCCTATCATTAATTTTTTTACTTTAAAGATTTTTATTTTTTATTCTTTATTCTACATTTAAAATTTAAATTTTAATTATGATAATGATATAGATTTTATAAAACAAATCAGCAAGTTATATACAGTATATCTTTAGCAAATATTTTCTTCTTGTATAATTTTAATTCATTGCTATTGCAACTTATTATTATTAAATAAATATTTTGTAGATATTAAAAGATTTGAAATCATTAATAATATTCATTACGGAGTAAAAATTATAAATTTAAATTTACGAGATTTAGGCATATTCTTTTGTGAAACTCTTCCAAAATTTTAATGAAATAAAATATTTGAACAAATAATCCTTTCAAAACTTTGATCTTTATATCACCAATTACTCGCGAGGAGTTATTTATTTCTAGTTCTGGCATCCTCTATGTAACTCATGAATCTTCCAATAAATAACAGAAACGATAATATTCTACTGCAGTCTCGACGAACAAACATTGTGAATAAACTACATTTTGCCAAAACTTTATTCCAGGAATTTCTATTCAATTTCTAACGTTTATATTTGACGTCTGAATGATAATCTAAAACGTTTCATAAGAAGAGAAAATTGTCATATACGATAGGAAACACGCAATTTAAATAAAATAAATAACTAGTCATGTGAATAAGACCAGCAATCAATCATCCATTACTACGTTAAAACGTTATTTTTATATAAATCGAATGAGATGTTTTTAGATTTGTCATTTATTTCTATTTGCGTAATAACATTTCGATACTATTAACTAAGAATACAGATACAATGTCATGATTCAAAGTTTTCTGATCTCACGTACTGTACGTACAGTACTGTACATCTCTCGGTCCTCTCTGTTTATGTATAAAATTAATTTAATCCAGCGTAGTTTCGTAAAGGTGATGATAACTCTTGAAATTCAAAGATTATAATTAAAAGTAACTGAACAATTTTCGAATGGAATTTTAGGTGTTGAACTCCCCTTTTATCTAGCATCGTGATCACTTTAAACAGTAAATTGCTTTAGACATATTATCTCGAAAACTATATTTATTGTTTTATATTTTAATTATATCTGACAGAGCTATCCCATTAGACATGATGTTAAAATATGTTTTTGAATAGTAACGTTTGATCGATTATAAACTTCAAAACTAATTATACTTATTTAAAGTTACAACGAATGTAATAAGCTTATATTTCTAAAATCTTTTCCTTTTGCATTTACATTAATTCTTTGCAGGGAATTCCTTTAACATTTAGTTTTACGCTTTTCCCTCCCCGTTAATTTATGCTCGAGTCTTTTCTAGTCTAAACCATTGCTAAAATTAAATACGTCATAAAGTTAACAGCCTGAAAGAATTTGTCCAATTAATTCCATACGCGTGGCTATCTTCTTGCACCACATACTTCTATTATATCACTCGTACTGTGCAATTCTTTGAGCAGTCAACTGAGAAAAAAACATTCATCGAAGACTTCTGTTTTTATTTCCATTAAAGTGATGTACTTACAGAAGTTATCAAGAATTCTAATCATGCAAAATTAACTGCGTTATTAATGCCTCTACTTTTTCCAATGTTTATTTAATTAAAGTAAATTTTAAAATATCATAAAAAAAAGTAATTGATTTGATTAAAATATAATTATCAAAATTAAAATTTCTAAATTTTTATTAAATGAAGATAACTACTTATATTAATTAATTTGTTATGCATAATATATACGTATGGTGAGATTTGATGATTAACATATGGTTTAAATAACCAACATCTGTATTATATAATGGTATATCAAATGGCTAAACTCAATGAAGTGATATAACCATTGGATGCATGACATCACTCAGGAAACTATAGAGTAAAGGGAATAGATAATGGAACAGGTTTCATACTTGTCTTCATTGGTACTTCAAATATTTGCGTGTACATATATTAAATTACTCGGTAGGGTAGTATTGTATGCAGTGGTTTCATTAACAATTTGATTTAAAATTATACAAACTGAGCTTAGAATTACTATAAATATTTATTTACGATTTGATATATAATATCAATTTCACATTCATTTTAAATATAACTATGTATTTATTTATAATGTTTAAAAATAATGAATATAATTTGAATAATTTTAAAACTTCATAGCCTTGTTGATATTACAAGATGTGGTTACAATGTCAAAGACAGGTGACATCAAAGTTTTTCTAAGGCCTTTCCGAACAGGTTACACTTACAGAAAATTGTTAAAGGATATTAGTAGAAGAGGAGAAACTAATTTAGTACTTAATTTGCCACCAGAGAAAATACCTTATGTTCTCCGTGAGGTAAGATAATACCTGATTAATAAGTAAGAAAATTGCACACCTACTGTTAATGTTATAGCCTATCATTAATTTTTTTACTTTAAAGATTTTTATTTTTTATTCTTTATTCTACATTTAAAATTTAAATTTTAATTATGATAATGATATAGATTTTATAGAACAAATCAGCAAGTTATATACAGTATATCTTTAGCAAATATTTTCTTCTTGTATAATTTTAATTCATTGCTATTGCAACTTATTATTATTAAATAAATATTTTGTAGATATTAAAAGATTTGAAATCATTAATAATATTCATTACGGAGTAAAAATTATAAATTTAAATTTACGAGATTTAGGCATATTCTTTTGTGAAACTCTTCCAAAATTTTAATGAAATAAAATATTTGAACAAATAATCCTTTCAAAACTTTGATCTTTATATCACCAATTACTCGCGAGGAGTTATTTATTTCTAGTTCTGGCATCCTCTATGTAACTCATGAATCTTCCAATAAATAACAGAAACGATAATATTCTACTGCAGTCTCGACGAACAAACATTGTGAATAAACTACATTTTGCCAAAACTTTATTCCAGGAATTTCTATTCAATTTCTAACGTTTATATTTGACGTCTGAATGATAATCTAAAACGTTTCATAAGAAGAGAAAATTGTCATATACGATAGGAAACACGCAATTTAAATAAAATAAATAACTAGTCATGTGAATAAGACNGAAAAAATTGAAAATTTATAATAAGTATAGCTTGATAAATAATATAAATAATTCTCTCATTAAATTTTCCTTTATTTATAAGTTGATTAAATGTCATTTGATTAATATTAAGAACCAAAGATTAATAAAAGAAGTAAACAGTCGAGGAGTTTTTATGACTAACTATACACTTTCATTATAATAAATAGTCATTAAAATGCATTTATGTTGATATATTATGTAGGATATATCGTAGAGCAATGTTTCCCGGCCTGTTTTAGTTGAGGACACACCCTTTTAACGTACCAAGAGACCATGACATTATCCTGGAATGCAATATCTGGATAATATCATGATCTGGTAGATCGGGATTTACTAGTTGAGAAGTATCACAGAAGACACTATTCATACAAAATTTTAATAAATTAATTTTGTTTTCTTTATTATATTTAGTTAATATTCTTTTTAGATTAATACAATAATATTTTATTCAGAACTTAATTAACCAACAAAAATGCGCTAATATTTGTTACTTAATTTAGTTTAAAAACTTAGCAGATACAATTTTTATTGCACGATTAAATTTCTATAATTTTGGTAACATAAACTAAATAATTAGAGATGTTTCCCTGATTTACGGCTTGAGTTAAGCATAAAATATCAGGTAGAGTAATTTCGGAAACACAGAATTTGATTTATAATAATAAGTTTTACGAAATTAATCCTTTTTCAATTTTAAAAAAATGAGTGCCAATAAAATATCAAAGATATGGCATAGTTTAAAATTTTACAACGAATTTTAGACAGGTTAATTAGAAGAGTAGTCGAGAAGCTCTTAATCACTGTCGTATACAATTTATTACAATGCTTCGCCCTATTGATTGTCAATAAAACAAGAAGCAGATATCTGCAGATCGTAAAAGTGAAATTTCAAATTGTAGAAGTATATTGATTTACAGGCTATCACCCAATTTGTTACACCGTCATCTAATTAATACAGTACTGAACGTAATAAGTGTATTTTCACTTTCAGGATCTGCATACCATCGACTTGCAAGATTTCCAACTCGTCAGATCAAACATTACAGGTTTTCGCTTGGTTGATCCGAGTGAATTTTCCAAAGAACAACAAAAGGATCGTTACAGTAATATTTTAGAATACGGAAGGATAATTAAACAGCCGTCTTTACCAAAGGTTAAATCATTTTGTTTAATTATATATTGGCGTCACCTGTACGCGCTCTATGTAGCAATTTTTGTAAATTTATGTGTGATAATAATTCGTCTTATTTTCGTTTAGACAGAAGCTGCTTTGTTATATGATGCAGTATATCTATTAGCGAAAACAATACATGATTTGGATAGAAAACACATTCTTAAGCCACCATCAGTTTCTTGTTCTGAAAAACGACCGTGGCCTCAAGGAAAACTGGTAGTGGATCACATGAAAACAGTTGGTTTCAAATTTATGTACACAATCTGTTAGTTTACCTTTAATGAAATGAATATAAATTATTTATTTTTAATTTAAAATATATATTTTTATTACTGAATGATTCCCAAGATCATACTATTTTATATCATTTATTTAAATAATGTAAAGACTTATTCATAATAGTTTATTTATTGTTTTGTTAGAATAACGAAGAATAATGAGATAAAAGAAACATGCCTTGAAATTGCCTAGAGCGTTTTATAAGGATAAATCTTACTATAACATTGAAAATGTGGTTTATTATATATAAAAAAGATTTTTATAATAACGGGATTGTTTACAATGCATTACGTGTGAAATTAATATCTATTTTTAATTCTACTACGTAATATGGATGCTGTATATTACTGTTAAATTTATATAATAAAGTCTTAAACTGGAGTTGCTATGGGAAAATCAACCAGTTTTTGGAATTAAAGTGATTTTATGCATATCTATTTTTAAACAATTGCATCTGTTATATAAGGGCGAAAATAACTTCATTCATATAACTTATATATGCTATCAAAATTATTTAATGCTGTCTAAATTTCTTCAAGTAATAAAATCAATTCTTTAATTAAAAAATCTTAAAATTCTTTTTAAAATTTTAAACAGAATTTAATAAAATATTATGATTAAATTCTCATATAGCAGATATTTTTATTTTTCCATCTCATTCAATTTACGTTACAAGTAATTTACTTTTTATGCTTTATTTTCCTTATGTAAAAAGTAAAATTTTTATATTGATGTTTCATATATTAAGTTATAATTTTAATTTTCAAAAATATAAATTTAATTATTCTTTAAATAAATAAAAACATATAAAGAAGGCATTCGTAAATTACATAAGATTGTAAAGTTAATTTTATTATTACATAACTTATATAAATTAAAAATTTAATACCTATATTATATAATATTTAAATTCTTAAAGGAGAGTTAAATTTAATAGATTTTTTAAGAGGTTTATTGAAGAGGAAAAAATAATAGAAAGGATAAATGAAAAAAAATTCCCTTTGTTAAATAAACTTCAATTCGAAAGAAAATATATATATATAAATCTATCAAAATTTGAATTTAAATCATAATATTTCCAAATATTTTGATATTTTATATTTTTGTGTCATGTAAAAATTTATTTCAATCTGCAATTTTGACAGTTCTTTCACATAACAGGCAAGATGTGTTATTTTTAGAGAATTCGATGAAAATAATTGATTTTTATACACTGCCTTTCTTCTAGCTGACATTTAAAGGGATGACCGGTGAAATTAAATTTGATAAAGACGGATACAGAAGAAATTTTACCTTGGATATCGTGGAATTAAAACCCGGTGGCTTAAAAAAATTAAGTATATTAATTTACAAAGTTTAACAGAAAGTTATATGAAAAATGATATTTGTGAATTAATAAACTAAACTATTTAATTTTTTTTCTTTTTTTAAATAGGTTGGAATATGGTCATCATCATCCGGAGTATCTTTTTCTAATAATTATGTTTCTGTGTTAAAGGAGGCAATGCTCTCTCTCAAAAATAAAACATTAAAAGTGACTACTTTAATAGTAAGCTTGAAGTTTGTACTTTGAGAATATAAACAAATCACTTAAAACATTCTTTCTTACTCTTAACGTTTGTTTACTTTTTACGTAAACCAAATATTGGATGATAAATTGTATGTTACTTAGACCTCCTATATTTTAACACAGTAATTTTTTTTATTTTTTTTTTTACGTATAAAAATAATATTTACATATTATTAGATTTTTGAAAACATCGAAGCAATATTAGTTTCTTTATTATTTATTTTTATCTTATAGACTAAACCGTACGTGATGCTCAAGCAATCAGAAAAAAAACTGATGGGAAATGATCAATACGAAGGATATTGTGTTGATATTATATTCGAACTATCCAGAATTCTTGGATTTAAATATGAATTTCATTTAGTGAGAGATCGAGTTCACGGTGTAATGAATGAAAAGAAAGAATGGAACGGTATGATACGCGAATTGATCGACAGAGTAAGTTGTCTTCAAACATAATACTGTAATACTTTCAATTTAAACTGTCTGTTTCTGTTGAGTACATCGAAAACTTTTTCTTTTCCCTCTTTTAACAGTGTTGTTTATAAAAAAAAAGAATAAAAAACATTTCAGACAATTTAATCGAATTCTTTCTTTCGATTTGACGAAACTTGGATTGAAACATCGATTTTTCTTTATTATTTGGCCACAGTGATACAGTTTAAATTAAACGCGAGAAAATGTATTAAAAATCGAATCTAAAGTTTTTCCATATAATATAAATGTTTAATGTAGAATTTTAAGAGCGAGAAAGGAAAAAGTGATATAATAAATAAGTGTTTATATTTTTACTTAATTATAGTTATTTTAATTAATTAAAAATAATTTTTAAAAATTGTTTTAAATTATATAAAAGATAAGAAATTGTTTTCTTAAATAAACGATTTATTTCTAAACAATAATCTTAACATTACTTTTTCTTTTATTTAATATTTTTAAAAAAGGTTTTTCATCGTTTACATTTTCATCATTTATTTTTAATGTATTTTTCTTAACAATTTTTAATTGTTAATTCTTTCAACAATAATAAATTGTTCATCTAATTAGAAGATTTTTTTTTAATTTACGTAACTCTTGTTATATATAATTAACAAAATTCCTGTTTTGCTATACATTTAAATAATTCTTTATAACAGAAAAATAAAGTATTTATTATTTCTTGCCATTTAAAAAGGAAGAATAAATATTTTTCTCTGAGAAATGTAAAATCGGATATTCGATATAATAATAATAACACTAGATTATTTTAATTTATGGAAAAGATTAATTAAAAAATATTTTAAAGCAGAAACAATTATTTAAAATATATTTCAGTGTTTCTATAGGCCTATATAATGTACATTTTTTTTCTTTTTATTTTAAATTAATAACTCATATTGAAACACGTGATACTATGGAAGTGACTGAATACTCTGAGAACTATTAATAGAAAAATGATGTCATTGACCAGATATTTTTTCTTTAAGTTAAGCATATAATTTTTTCCTCTATTTAAAATTCAAAAGCATTTTTTAAAACATTATGATGATTTAAAAGATGCATTTGAAGATACAGATACAAATGAAAAAAAAATATTCTGCAATAATAAAAATATGATTTTTAAAAAAAGGTGTTAAAATTATGCAAAAATTTTTATAAATTAAAATGATAAATCAGCATTTTAATTAAAATACTTTTCTAAAATGATAAGGGTTTACGTTATATTACCGCTATTAAAACAGTTTTGAATGAAATATAATTTGAATAATTCGATATTGAAGGACACGTCATAAAATACGTGTTTGTAAATTTATCAAATTTAAAAATATTTATATGCTTAAATACTTAATTAAAATCATAAAGATTTATAAAATATTCAATATTTATAATAGAAACAGAAATGTAAATAATAAACTTGATGGAAAATTACCAGGTGCCGTAGACGTTCAAAATTGGTACACATTACAGATGGGAAAAAGAAAAAAAGAAACTATTCTACTTCCTTGGCCATCAACCAAAAATCCATGCACACGAAGTTGAGTTTATAAAATTATAACATCTAGAATATTTTATACAGCTACAGAATTACAACAATATAATGTACGGCAATTTAGGAAATGAACCGTTTGGTGAATTCAATATTCAGTAGAAATGTTTTAGATATTTAAGTTTCTGTTCAAAATTGTGACTTTTAAATAAACATTTATAATAAAAAGTAGGCAACGTTTTAAGTTAACAATTAAAAAAAAAAAAAAAGATTTACTAAAACCGAATTTTTAAACATAAAATAAGTAATTTAGGTAATATTATTTTAAAATATATTGTTTAACAATAAATTATTTGTAAGAAGTTTGATTATGACATAACGATTTTACATGTTCATGGAAGGGGTTAGCTGTTTTTAATCCTCAATAAAGAGAAAAAGTAATAATGTCTTATTGGGAAGTGGAACTAGAAATTTATTACTGTTTCTAAGATATTAAACGTACATAAATATGTCAAAGACAGCGACAATTGCAATTTTGTAAAGTTATTTTTTTTCTTTCTTAAGTATGCTTTTTCGAAAATTATTATCATATTTATTTTATTTTATAATTGTAACTGTCAAAAGTATTATTATCAATCTTCATTAATTTTAATGTCAAAATACTTTTATTGCTTAACACAGTTAAATATTATCGAAAAAAATGATTAAAAAAGTACAAAATTTTTATGCAAATCAGAAAGATATTGTGATAACTTACAGTAAGTGCACTTTTATTTTACAAAATGTGATTAAAATCAAGAAAAAAATATAATTTTATATAAAATTTTATAGATATGCTGCAGCTTTGATATNTATTTTGATATTTTATATTTTTGTGTCATGTAAAAATTTATTTCAATCTGCAATTTTGACAGTTCTTTCACATAACAGGCAAGATGTGTTATTTTTAGAGAATTCGATGAAAATAATTGATTTTTATACACTGCCTTTCTTCTAGCTGACATTTAAAGGGATGACCGGTGAAATTAAATTTGATAAAGACGGATACAGAAGAAATTTTACCTTGGATATCGTGGAATTAAAACCCGGTGGCTTAAAAAAATTAAGTATATTAATTTACAAAGTTTAACAGAAAGTTATATGAAAAATGATATTTGTGAATTAATAAACTAAACTATTTAATTTTTTTTCTTTTTTTAAATAGGTTGGAATATGGTCATCATCATCCGGAGTATCTTTTTCTAATAATTATGTTTCTGTGTTAAAGGAGGCAATGCTCTCTCTCAAAAATAAAACATTAAAAGTGACTACTTTAATAGTAAGCTTGAAGTTTGTACTTTGAGAATATAAACAAATCACTTAAAACATTCTTTCTTACTCTTAACGTTTGTTTACTTTTTACGTAAACCAAATATTGGATGATAAATTGTATGTTACTTAGACCTCCTATATTTTAACACAGTAATTTTTTTTATTTTTTTTTTTTTACGTATAAAAATAATATTTACATATTATTAGATTTTTGAAAACATCGAAGCAATATTAGTTTCTTTATTATTTATTTTTATCTTATAGACTAAACCGTACGTGATGCTCAAGCAATCAGAAAAAAAACTGATGGGAAATGATCAATACGAAGGATATTGTGTTGATATTATATTCGAACTATCCAGAATTCTTGGATTTAAATATGAATTTCATTTAGTGAGAGATCGAGTTCACGGTGTAATGAATGAAAAGAAAGAATGGAACGGTATGATACGCGAATTGATCGACAGAGTAAGTTGTCTTCAAACATAATACTGTAATACTTTCAATTTAAACTGTCTGTTTCTGTTGAGTACATCGAAAACTTTTTCTTTTCCCTCTTTTAACAGTGTTGTTTATAAAAAAAAAGAATAAAAAACATTTCAGACAATTTAATCGAATTCTTTCTTTCGATTTGACGAAACTTGGATTGAAACATCGATTTTTCTTTATTATTTGGCCACAGTGATACAGTTTAAATTAAACGCGAGAAAATGTATTAAAAATCGAATCTAAAGTTTTTCCATATAATATAAATGTTTAATGTAGAATTTTAAGAGCGAGAAAGGAAAAAGTGATATAATAAATAAGTGTTTATATTTTTACTTAATTATAGTTATTTTAATTAATTAAAAATAATTTTTAAAAATTGTTTTAAATTATATAAAAGATAAGAAATTGTTTTCTTAAATAAACGATTTATTTCTAAACAATAATCTTAACATTACTTTTTCTTTTATTTAATATTTTTAAAAAAGGTTTTTCATCGTTTACATTTTCATCATTTATTTTTAATGTATTTTTCTTAACAATTTTTAATTGTTAATTCTTTCAACAATAATAAATTGTTCATCTAATTAGAAGATTTTTTTTTAATTTACGTAACTCTTGTTATATATAATTAACAAAATTCCTGTTTTGCTATACATTTAAATAATTCTTTATAACAGAAAAATAAAGTATTTATTATTTCTTGCCATTTAAAAAGGAAGAATAAATATTTTTCTCTGAGAAATGTAAAATCGGATATTCGATATAATAATAATAACACTAGATTATTTTAATTTATGGAAAAGATTAATTAAAAAATATTTTAAAGCAGAAACAATTATTTAAAATATATTTCAGTGTTTCTATAGGCCTATATAATGTACATTTTTTTTCTTTTTATTTTAAATTAATAACTCATATTGAAACACGTGATACTATGGAAGTGACTGAATACTCTGAGAACTATTAATAGAAAAATGATGTCATTGACCAGATATTTTTTCTTTAAGTTAAGCATATAATTTTTTCCTCTATTTAAAATTCAAAAGCATTTTTTAAAACATTATGATGATTTAAAAGATGCATTTGAAGATACAGATACAAATGAAAAAAAAATATTCTGCAATAATAAAAATATGATTTTTAAAAAAAGGTGTTAAAATTATGCAAAAATTTTTATAAATTAAAATGATAAATCAGCATTTTAATTAAAATACTTTTCTAAAATGATAAGGGTTTACGTTATATTACCGCTATTAAAACAGTTTTGAATGAAATATAATTTGAATAATTCGATATTGAAGGACACGTCATAAAATACGTGTTTGTAAATTTATCAAATTTAAAAATATTTATATGCTTAAATACTTAATTAAAATCATAAAGATTTATAAAATATTCAATATTTATAATAGAAACAGAAATGTAAATAATAAACTTGATGGAAAATTACCAGGTGCCGTAGACGTTCAAAATTGGTACACATTACAGATGGGAAAAAGAAAAAAAGAAACTATTCTACTTCCTTGGCCATCAACCAAAAATCCATGCACACGAAGTTGAGTTTATAAAATTATAACATCTAGAATATTTTATACAGCTACAGAATTACAACAATATAATGTACGGCAATTTAGGAAATGAACCGTTTGGTGAATTCAATATTCAGTAGAAATGTTTTAGATATTTAAGTTTCTGTTCAAAATTGTGACTTTTAAATAAACATTTATAATAAAAAGTAGGCAACGTTTTAAGTTAACAATTAAAAAAAAAAAAAAAAAAAGATTTACTAAAACCGAATTTTTAAACATAAAATAAGTAATTTAGGTAATATTATTTTAAAATATATTGTTTAACAATAAATTATTTGTAAGAAGTTTGATTATGACATAACGATTTTACATGTTCATGGAAGGGGTTAGCTGTTTTTAATCCTCAATAAAGAGAAAAAGTAATAATGTCTTATTGGGAAGTGGAACTAGAAATTTATTACTGTTTCTAAGATATTAAACGTACATAAATATGTCAAAGACAGCGACAATTGCAATTTTGTAAAGTTATTTTTTTTCTTTCTTAAGTATGCTTTTTCGAAAATTATTATCATATTTATTTTATTTTATAATTGTAACTGTCAAAAGTATTATTATCAATCTTCATTAATTTTAATGTCAAAATACTTTTATTGCTTAACACAGTTAAATATTATCGAAAAAAATGATTAAAAAAGTACAAAATTTTTATGCAAATCAGAAAGATATTGTGATAACTTACAGTAAGTGCACTTTTATTTTACAAAATGTGATTAAAATCAAGAAAAAAATATAATTTTATATAAAATTTTATAGATATGCTGCAGCTTTGATATTATTATTCTAGTTTTATTTATTTGGTATTGAATAAACTGTATAATTGTCGATCTAGTAAAATAATAATTCTTTTCTGAAATAAACAAATTTTTATTCATCATTTTAGTTTCGTGTTGTGTTAAAATATCTGTTATATGATTAAATATAATATATATATATATATATATATTTCTGTATTTCTGGAGTATTAGTTAAAAATTATAATTTAGAATTATTACATTATTCAATAACTTCGCTTATGTAGTTTGCGTATTTCTCATCAAACAAAGATGTGTGCTTATACAAATATGTAAATTAATTGTTATTTTAAGGGGTGTGTATATATATATACCTTAAAATAACACTTAATTTACATATTTGTATAAGTACACATCTTTATCATATATATATATATAATAAATTACTTTTTATATTTATTTAATAGGTGCAAAGGCATAGTTAAGAAATCTTATAAATACAGCAGCCACGGAAATTGTATTACTTATAATACATACCAAAAATCGTTAAACAGATGTGCAAAGTAGCATATTTGAGCTATGATCGCAATTTTCAATGATAACATAAAGAATAGAGATACAAAGAAGAATAAACCAAAGGATGCAATTTATTACATATAATGCTACATTGAACTAAAGTAAGTGTTATTTTACACCACAGTCTCACCAATATTCTTAATGAGAATTGTCGTAAGAACTTTCAGTCATAGTCATGGAAACAAAAGAAAAAATACGAGAAAAGGTTTACAGCATAAACAGACATGAAAACAAAACATGAACGATTATTATACCTTGAATGAAATCCCAGTATTTCGTCGGGCCACCTCAAACTTTTAATAACTTTGCAGCAAAGAATTTTATATCAAGCTCGTGATATCTAACTCTTTTACTATATATCTGCAGTTGCTGTTTATTTTCAGACTTCTTTATAATTTTCGTGCCATAATATGCTATCAGTTTTCAATGGTATTGATTACTTTTACTACCACTTTTTTGGACTACTTCCTGGACACATTAGGCTTTCTGTGGGAATTTTTTAAACCTAAACTATACTTTGTGTCAGTTCAAATGGCAATAATATTAATAAGCGTACAGAAAGGACACATTATACTTTACTTACCATCTTGACGTGGTGGAATAGCTCAGAATCGTCGTGGAAATTGAAGATTTTGTGTCCAGAAATTATTCAATTGTTAGAATTTGCTTGGTAGATAAGTTATTTCTGTAGCAAAAACTCATTTATGAATGTAGTCTTCTGATATTTTCATTGAATATGCATTCCAAAACCATTTGTTCATTGGTAATTACTTAGCCTTTTATATGTCTAACATATGATTTGTCATCATATCTATGCAGGTTATAAGTTATATGGATTCATCCGAAATTATAACAGAATTCCACATGTCAATGCTCCTGTCCACATGCCCTTTAACACAGATAAGCCGCTGTATGCGCATATGTGCATTTTATTCGTCAGTAATGACTTTATATTTGGCAATGTGGGCTTTTAAACCGCATTGCACGGACGACATCGCATCGTACACTTCGGCACTCGCTTTTACGCCTGTCTGCTTTTTCCACTTTCAATTCGGAAGAACTAGCAGTACATTTTCACAGGCAGAAATGCTTTAGCATTCCATCACACGTTTACCTCCTGATCCATCTTTTATTTTAATGTTTCAGTATTCACATCTCTTTTGTATGAAACGCACAATTGTCGATTGATAACAATGCACTCTCTGCGCTATTTTAGGAGAGAGAATAAACATTCATCATTCAAAGTAATAATTATGGACTTTTTTAGCATTGTTAGTTGTCGAGAAAACTTTCCATTTTGCTTATAAAAGCAAGCCACATTTGTTCACAGTATTTATATCATTGGTTAATACAATCATCGGAAACATTATTGCAACATACAGTAGAGCCTCGATTATCCGACCCAATTGGGGACTGGGTTGGTCGGATAATTGAAAAGTCGGATAACCGAAAAGTATGAAAAAATCCATTATTAGTGTAGTATATTATTATATCCCATGCAATTAGTATATTAGTATATCGCTATTAACCTACTTCGCGTTGAATTTTCCTCCATGTTAAGCCTATCAAATTTTTATAATAACAATCGTAGCTATTGTATCGTTAAAAATTAGAAAAATAAGCCTCGTTTAAATATTGACTCCCTTTAATGGTCGAATGAGTGTTGCCAGCTAAAACACGTAAAAATAATATTAAAGTAGCCAA